GACTGACTGACTGGACTGACACACACACACATGCAGACACACTGACTGACTGACTGGACTGACAGGACAGGACTGAGACATAGACTGACAGCGCGGACCGAGACACTGACACTGACTTTCTCTGATCTTCCACTGCCTCTCTGTCCTGTGTCTTATGTCCTCTCCTCTTCCACCTTGTTTCTGTGTCACACATCTCGCTTTCTGTGAACCCACACTCCCGTTTGGTTTACCCCCTGTGCAGACTCTCAGGGAGTGGTGCTGGCTCAGCGAATCTAATGACCTTTCCTGACGCTGACTCGAAGGCAGCGAGACAACCAGAGACAGAGGCAAGACACTGTACCTGTAAATATCCACTCTACTGTCATGGGAGGAGGGCTTGTTCATGGTGGAGACGCTACTACCTGGACGGAACGGACATGAAATTCTGCTTCCCTCCTGTGGCCAGATGTCAGTACTGCAGCACAACCTTGATTACGTGGAGTATTGGTTGTTGTATATTTGATTCTTAATGATATAACATTATCTATATGTATTATAATTGTTGATAAGCAATAGCAAAACATGATTCTGTGTTATCTGAAAGCCATTCAGGTGTGGAATTGAAACTGTGGTAGTAGAGAAGTTTGATGCTCTCTGAGGGATGTTCTCAACTGACTCAGTCAAGGTGCTCGCTAAGAGCTTCTCATCCTGCCCCAGGCTGGGGCTGGGATCCCCAGGCAGACTCCACCAGGATAGGGTGGGCCAGAGATGTGTGGGGATATTGTCACCCTGTCCCCACCTAGCAGGTCATGTGACTAGATAGGATCCAATGACCATGCAGCATCGCCGAGGAGAGACGCACCGGTCCTCCAATCACTGCTCACTCTCCTGTAAGGCAGCATGGGCGTGTCCTCACTCTCCCTGAGCGCAGGACACGGGTGGCGGCAGGGAGCCCAGTTCACGAACAGCTGGCTATTCCAAACAGACATGGCGTGAAATCGAAGAATATTTCCAAGGGGTTTTCAGATCAGGTACCATACAGGAGGTACAATACAGGGATTTAAGATCGGCTACGGAGACAGAGATCAGCCCACCCACATTACTACCAACAAATAATCAATTTAAAATGGAATTTACAGTTGTGTAACAAGGCAGCCGGCAATTCCACCTGAAGCCACAAGATGGCGCCCATGTCTTCTCAATTCCAGCCTTTTAATCACTGTTCACGTGCTTTATTAAGAGTAAGAGAATGACTCGCGTGGATCAGCGCCGCTGATCTGTTTTCTTAGTGGGAAGTGGGAAAAGATCGAAGACAAAAGGGTCTGATCTATCAGCCATGTAAATATCCTTAAAACCTTTTAAAAAAGCACAAGATCCTCAAGTCAGGATATAGGAGTCGAGGGCCAGCTTCTTACGTGTTTATAATAACCCATTTTAACAGTGCCATTGCAATCGCATTTATTCCATTTCTGGTCCAGATTGAGACGCATGTGTCTGAGTGATGGAGAGACACAAGGAAGAGGCAGTGCATTTTTGTACAGCAGATCTCTCAGCAGCTTTCAGTGATGAAATGTTTGGTACAGCTAGACCCGTTCCCAGTCCTAAGGAAGTGGCCTACACTGACAGATTAACAGAATTGAGTCTCTTCAGTTCCAGGACGGTGAAGATCACAAAGGGACCTGATACAAGAACAGTCTTTACGCTCTTAATCAACGGGCCTGATGAAGTCGCCCCAGAGGGCTTCTTCAGCATCAACAGGGAAACGCCAACCAGAGGACACGGGAAACTACAAGGAAGGGCATTTACTATATAGAATAGGGTAGCACTTCTTTACACGAAGGGTTGTGGGTGTCTGGAACAAGTCACATTGTTACCCTGGCTTTCAAAAGCTGGATGAGATCCTTGGTACAGTTAGCTATTTTGGAGAGTGTCCTCACATTTGTCAGGTTTCAGATGCTTTTATGATGCACGTTGGCCTTTTTTCATCAATATGAAGGGTCTTAAATGTTGATATGTGGTCTAAGCTCTCAATCCAAGTGTGTGCACAGAATTGTACACCCAGGGCAGAGAGAGACTGGGGCCACTGCTATTTTCTGTGCCTACTGCTCTTTAAAGTGTGAGCACCTCTCTTTGAAGAATGCGTTTTTCTAAATGGTGATTTTTTTTTGTATTGTATTGGAAATATTTATTTTAAATTTATGTAAATCAATCAGGCAATGGCACGTTTTGTGGTGTTTGATCATAAATTACTTTTGAGCGGGAAGAGAGAAGGGGTCGGGGGAGGTGAAGGGGTCAGAGGGACAGAATGGACTTCCTGTACCACCTCCTACCCTGGACGCGATAGAAAGGGGACAATATTTCTCACTTGCTCCCACTATTCAGAGAAAAACAGTCTCGACTCCAGAAGTGATTTTTTTTTTGCATTTTTATTTATATTTTTTAAATTTTGTTACTTGAGGTTCAGAGTTCCCAACACAACACAGCCATTCCAAACCGTACGTTGCGGGTCAGGCCCGGTACTGAAGCGACACAGTAAGGTGTGTGGCGGCATGCAGAGGGACCGTCCAGGACGCAATGATGATGAAGATGATGATGTTTTGGAGAGAGAGCGGGGCCGGAGAGCTGGCCCAGCTGTGTGAACAGGAGCCCTCCGCGGTGCCCAGTGCCCTCGGGTGCCACTGTGACGTCGCTGTCTCTGAGCCCACTAGGGGTGTAAACACACTGCTCCGGGCTGGCTCTTGCGCCGTCTCTCCCCAAGAGCCGAGAGCACCGGGTGGGGGTGTGTCGGGGTTGGGGGTCAGGGGTCAGGAGACAGTGCTAATCACATTCATTGATAATGCCAACACCCAGCTGGGGAGGACAGGTTCTAAGGCCGGAGTGCCGCCAGTGAGTCGGGCCATAAAGGGCAAAGCTCTGTGTGCTGGGGCCGTGCACAGGGAGTGTGTGTGTCTGTGTGTGCGCTCAGGGTAGTGCAAGGGGGTCCTTGCTTTCCAGGAGGAGGGGTGGGGGCACTGGGAAGTGTGGGGGGGGGGGTGGGTCCCAGCCTCCTCTCCATCCGTCTCCGTCTCGTCCCCTCCGTTCCCTTCTCTACGCCTCGAGCTCGAACCCCAGGCCAACCTTGTGGCCCCCGGCGTTGAAGTTCTTGCCATCGATGAGCGCGGAGAGAGTGAGCTTCACTCCTGAGGAGGAGAGGGCCGCGGTACAGCGAGGGAAGGAGAGGAAGGAAGAAAAGGGGAGATTCATTCAGACACGTGAAGAATGCTTTCTAACACGTGAGCAGGTGTGTCTGTTCAAGTGGCCTTCGGCGCAGAGGCTGCAGCAGTGAGCCGAGACACTTGTCATTACTACGCTGAGCAGCGGACAAAACCCACCACTCTCATTTATGCATGCGAGGTTTTGGAAAAACAAACTAGATGGATTTTGGATATTGATTTTTGCTGTCATTTTGATTAACTGATTGCCAATGACCACTAAACGACAGGACTCTTGCATCAGCACTAAAATGACCTGGTTGGCAAAAGTGCTGATTGGACACAGGTGATGAAGCGATCTGCCCTGTCAAATGTCCAGCCTGGTGGACATCAAGTAAGAAAAATGCAGACGGGAACCTACACACTCTGTTTCCAGCTTATTGAGAGAACCACGCCTTCGTGTCATCGCTGTGTTGGTGGCTGGACTAAAATCTACACACTGCTATTCCCCATCTGGGCCAGCAGTTTTCACCCTGGCAAGAACACAGTCCAACAAATATAGGCTCTGGGTCATGACACCCCAAGATCAACAGGGAGGTCCCGTCCTGACATGACAACACTGCAGCTGTTGGTGGAACAGTGGTGTTCTTGCGAGATGAGATGACCTGCATTACATCTGCTCAATTAAATGTCAGGTCTACCTGCTACGAAAAAGGACTGTACTTTTTTTATACATCTGGGAATTTGTTGCAATTCTTAGTTACCTTCTTTGCTCAGTTCATTTTTTTGTCCAAAGCAACTTACGGAGCTTACAATTTATTTTCCAGTATAACTCTGGGCTCTAGTTTCTCCAGCTGGGTTTGCTGGGGCGTTCTGGGTAAAGTGCCCTGCCCACCAGGGCTTTGTACCCACAGAAGACGACACAAGCACATGAGGAGGGGAGCTGTGAAGCCCATTTACACACACCCCTTTCCCCTATGTGAAAGAGAAGAAATCACAGGGGCGAGAGAGGGAGAGATGGGGGCAGGAGAGCTGTTACCTGGCCGCAGGCTCTGTGTGTACCCCACTCCGATCAGACTGGCATTGTTCACTTTGGCCTGCAGGGAGACAGGACTCTGTCAGGACAGGTGGACAAGTGCTACCAGGTACCATCACAGTTCCTCAGTGAGAAACAAAGCTGTTGATCACTTTAGCACAGCACTACAGAATACACACTTCAGGACAAGACTGAACTATGCAGTACAATACATTGTTACAGTACAGGACTGTGCTAGGCAAAACAGTACATTAGAATACAGGAGACATTACAGTACTAAGCGGTGATATGCTGTCCATTACTTCATGCCACATTACAGGGCAGTGCAGTGAAGTACAGTGCACCCTGTTAAAAGTACAGTATTACTGTAGTGTACATTGAGCATGAGCACCTTCTAACACAGTACAGTGACTTTCCATTATTACATAGTACAGTATCCATGGCGTGTTACATAATACAGTGAATAGCTATAGTGTTATACTGTACACTGAGCAGAGCATTGAGTACAGTGACATTCAATGCAATGCTAAAATACAACGAGCATCAGTGTAGTGTTACACAATACTCCATACAGTTTATGAGAGCTATGTGACAGTACAGTGAGTATCAGTGTGGTGTTGCACTGTATGTACAGTATTAGTGTTGTGTTATACTGTACAGTGAGTACCAGTGCAGTGTTATACTGTACAGTGAGTATCAGTG